GGCATCATCTTGGGACAGGTTTGGAGCGCGGAAGACACAGATTTTCTGCAGGTGAGGAACAGATAACATCTTAGGACGGAACTGGCGACGTTTTCAGTCCCAGGTCACACCTTTGCAATGTTTTGGATACCATGACGTGAATTTTTAAGGTGACTTAAAAGTCACTCCAGAACAGCGTCTCAAATTGTTCGCAGCAAAACATTCATACTCCATCTCGAGTTTAAATCGAAAAAGAAGTTTTACAGTTGGCGCAGTGCTTCGAGTTTAAGGGCATTCTAGGTGCGAACAATTTAAAACTTTTGCGTACAACCTAGAATACCGAAACACACACAGTATTTATATACTTGAATCGTAATTCGTAAATTGCATCAAAAAATCGCAAAAGTGTGACCCAGACTTTATGGTCTCTCTGTTGTTTTGGTGTAGTTATTGTGTTCAGAAATCAGCCTGGGAAGATGAAGAACAAAGATACTTAAAAACCCATTTTGACCTTTTTTTGCCTACAGTCAAGAGGATTTGTTGGTTTTTGTATTTTTGTACCTCTAATACGTTTTCACATTGGTCCAGGCGTTGCCATACAGTGACGACAATATATTTGTTTCGACTACAATGTCCTGTACACTACTTCTATTTTGTTACAGAATAATTTTTTCTCAACTGGTACCTTCTCTAGGACTGAAGTACCAGTATTCCATACGAGCTGTTTGCACAGGAGTCCGTAAACTAATAGAACCGTAAATTTCGCGGTAAGGGGGAAAGGCGCTAACGCGTTGTTCGATCAGACAGTACATTTCTGAGAGAAAATCTGGTGTGCTTACGTTGCGATAATTTCGTGGTGGAGTGGGCAAATTAAAAACGACGGATACAAGACTACCGCGAATATCTCAAGGCTTCCAGTGACCAGATAGGATCTTACCGTGGCCGACAAGTACAAAATTTTACACCGCAACTTTTGGTGTTTTATACCGCAGCTTTTGGTGTTTTACACTGCAACTTTTGGTGTTTTACACTGCAACTTTTTCTGTGTTTTACACTGCAACTTTTGCTGTGTTTTACACTGCAACTTTTGCTGTGTTTTACACTGCAACTTTCGGTGTTTTACACTGCAACTTTTGGTGTTTTACACTGCAACTTTTGCTGTGTTTTATACTGCAACTTTTGCTGTGTGGAAAACTTACACCCCTCCCCTTTTATAATGGACGGTCCCCCTGTCAGGTCAAAGGTGACAAAGATGGCAGCAAAAGTTGCAGTGTAAAACACAGCAAAAGTTGCAGTGTAAAACACCAAAACTTGCAGTGTAAAACACAGCAAAAGTTGCAGTGTAAAACACAGCAGAAGTTGCAGTGTAAAACACCCAAAGTTGCCGTGTAAAACACCAAAAGTTGCGGTGTAAAACACCAAAAGTTGCGGTGTAAAACACCAAAAGTTGCGGTGTAAAATTTTGTTCTTGTCGGCCACGGTAGGATCTAGTTGGCTCTGTCCCAGGCTTTGTCACGTCAGTTTTGGGCCCCTCCCGGTCCCTGCCATTTAAATGACAGGGTGTAGGGATGATAAATATGAACACATCAAGTGAACTGTGTCGGAAGGGCAATTTCAGGCTTGCCAGGTGTTGCAATAACAAAATAACGTTTTCAATTTTTCCACAACTGCTCCAACTGAGTTCTCAAGCACTTGGAAAACAACGATACTTATCTATTTTGAGTTGAGGTGATACTTTTCCGGGCAAAAAAAAAAAAAAGAAGAGAAATGAGACCATTTCGAAAAGTTTGTATTGCGCAGACAACAAACATATAGTTTTTAGGGCATTCGCCTCAGGGCATTCGCAGCGCACATTCCTGTGCATTTGCAACAAATCGAACTTTTGTCCCCCAGGATTAGATAATATAAATGGGACATCTTGTGGCTTGATGGTTAGTGGTTTGTTTGTTTGTTTGTTTGTTTGTTTGTTTGTTTGGCCTAGATATAGAATCCAGGGGTCCAGGATTCAGACCACTTAAAGGTCCCGATGTGACCACATAAAAATTTAAAGAGCAGAAGCGACTATTCTGGTTCTGTAGATACTACTGAGTGTTTTACTGAATCTCAAAGCGGAATTGTTTTGTCAACTTGACATTGAGTCTGGACTATGCAGAAGTTATATTATACCGTAACATACAACATCTTAGCTGTAAAGAATTGTTTTTAAACCATTCTCTCAACCTAGGTCTGAGTTGCGTAGCACGTCGACTAGCACGTGCACAAGCACAACAGCCGGTAACATGTTATTCTTGAAGCCCCCCCAAAGTACCCTCCAAATCAATTACACAGCACATAATTTCGCAAACAACCATTGGACAAATTCAAAGCGGTGGCTCTCAAGGAGTCTTGGGTTGATCTTGAAAATTGCATTTGCAAGTTGCCTCTGGATACAATTCGTAACCTTAGCTACATTGTTTTCTATTTGTTTGACCACAAATTTAAAGTGACTTTGATCTCTGGCAGTCAAACCATTGAAACCCATAATTAAGTTTAAAAAAAACGGTGCCCTCAAAAAAAGTCAACTAATTACATTTGTCCAATAAGAGAGCGGAATCAAATGTTTGTCAATCAAATGTAGGCGTGTCTTCGGGATAGTGCTTTTTTTAACAGACCCTTTTCATATATTCTAGGTATATGTACAGACAACTTGGATATTAGATCTGAACAAATGTTTTCAAACCATTCTCTCAACCTAGGTCTCTCTGAGTGGCCTAGCACATCGACTAGCACAAGCACAGCAACCGGTAACATACAGCCGGTAACACGTTATTTTTATTGCTTTATATGTTTTATTGTTGTCTTTGATGCATTATCATTTGTGCTCTTTAGTATATTTTATGAGTTCTGACGATTGACGTTGTTGGATGAAACTTGATCACGCACTGTTATTATCAATGTTCTTTTCAAATTGTCTTCTTTAAATCTTTAAAAATTTTGAATATCATATGCACATCATGGTTTTTAGTTAAAGCTCCAGCCATGATTTTCACTCTCATGGAAAAAAGTATACGACGTCCGTTCAAGTAGGAAGACACCAATGTTGCGTTTTGATAAAACGTCTGACTGCACAAAGCAGGCCTAAACTTGAAGCAATAATTATGAGCTATAAAATGATATCCTTGTTATTAGCAAAATGAAGACCAAACTGTGTGTGTGTTCGACGAATCGTAAGTCATTGGAAGCTGCCCTGATACCAAACTGAAGAAGCAAGTGTATTTGAATTTCCATATGATTTCTGATATGTTTTACATGTCGAGCTACCACAGTGCTTGACATGTGCTCTCGTTCGTTCACATTTTCTGTCACGAAATACACAAAATATTGAAACAAAAGTTGGAATTCATTTCCCATCCAAATAAAAGAATTATAAAAATGTATAATTGATATTTTCTTCTTTTGTTAACAGGTACACAAACAAGATCGCACACATCAACATTTTATGATTTTGAATATTCCATGTCTCAATATTTAGGTTCGGTGTATGTGCTACTATATCAATTTCGCAAGAGTTTTCTTGTGCGATGATTTCAGTATTTCTTCTATCTAGGCCTCCTGTCACTTGTGGATCTGATCTATTTGATTTTTCAACAAAAATTATGCAGTTCAGTCATTTTTACCTTTGTGTGATTTGGATGCAATGTTCTTTTAGTGTCTCTATGTACCAATCTGGCAATAATAAACCAATTGACTTACACAGATTTTCCATCATTTATACCACCTACCCATTCTGAAAAACAAGAAAAATTCTAACGTATTCTCGCCTTGTGTTCTGTTCGGGCTGTCTAGTATCCTGTACGGGCTGTCGACTCTATGTTTTGCCTTTACGACCCAGGGTAAGTTCAGCGTGACCATTGTCGTTGGATTCATAAGGTAACGTGCAGTGAATCATTGTTGAAAATTCCTGTTTGGACTCACTCTAACCGAGAGACTCAGTGCCCTGGCACACGGTTTTTGTCGTCTTTCTTATAATGCTTTCCCTTTAATCATATAGGAGACAGAAGGAGGGGATTAACTGTGCTGATTCGAATCGTTTTGACTAAATCGTATAAAACCGCAAAGGAAAGGTTGTGTCGTCGCAGGAAATGAATACATACATGTACACCTGCAATTTATTGGCAACGACTCAAGAGCGGATCCTTCTTTGGGTACCGTTTGAAAGTATTTTCAAACTTCTACCTGTACACGATTCTGCAAATGCATTCCGGCCTAGACCCCATGGAATTTTGTCGTGTTTAGTTTGGCTTCCCAGAAAAAACAAAACAAAAATGACGGATCTATTTGTTGATCCTCTTAGACGTTTGGTCGGTTATTAAAATAGAATATGTATTGGTTCAGGCGGCATCGCAGCCTTTCTCCTGCGGTTTTGTTATGATAGGTGCCGACAGGACAAGCGCCTCTTGGCCGGGAAAGACAACGGGTTACGGAAACACCTCGCACCCAAATTCTGTTTATCAACATCATTAGGCCACAGCAAGTAAGGCTTATGGATGACATCCTTCGGGCACCTCAAATCTAATGCGATAGCGCGACTCGAAGGATGCAAACGTTATAGAAAATGAATGACGCTGACAATGGAAGAATGTTTTATATGATAAAATCATTTGTAATCTTTAGAATAATACTTCATGATTTTCTAAGCCTATCAGCCAAATACAGCCTTTTTAGATGGGGAGATTTTAACCAAATTGCATACGAAATGCCAACAAACAAAAAGTAAGATTTAACGTCTGGAAGGGGAGACATTTTCTTTTTTGGGGGGGGGGGCAAAAATCAATATACAATGCGCGCGCAGATGTCATTCATAAGATAAACTTGCTATGGCTTAACAGAAGAACATTTGGCTTATTACAGGACATGCAAAGGAGGATGCTCGTGACATGTGTCAGACTTAAGTGCCATCACCACATGTTATCTCTGGCAAAGAACGCGTCAAAGTTCGACACAGCAGAAGAAAAAGATTCTAAATTGCACTCCATGTTTCCACTCTAACACATGGACCGACTACCCTCCGTTTGGGATGTGACATCTGATGATATCGCATGAGGTGGCATCAATAGTAAGAAAGGTTTGCCGAGATAATGTTTATATATAGGAAGTTTGACAACGCCCCTTTTCGACATATACGGTGGGTCTGCTTCCAGTGCTCATTTAAAAAAAAAGAAAGAAGGAAAGAGAAAAGGAAAGAAGGAAAAAGAAAGAGAGAAAGAAATAAAGAAAGAAAAAGAAAGAAAGAAAGAAAGAAAAAGACAGAAAGAAAGAAAGGTTTTCAAAAATTAACTGAAGCTAACAACAAATGTTCAACTCGGACAAACCTTGCAATGTTGATATCACCATCTCTGTACATCATTGGTGCTCAATCCCTTGTATGCCCCCCCCCCTCATTGTTTAAGTTTGAATCTGTCTCTACTGCTCAATGTTAACATGTCACGTCGGGTGGGTTATGTCTGATCTCTGCATGGTTACAAAATGTTACTCCTTAAAAAATTACAAAAATGTCATACCAAGGGAAAAATCATCACACTGTCGTGCTGTTCTACCACGAAGTATCCTTTGAGCTTTGCATAATCCGTTGAACGTTTGAAAGCCACGCCAAATGATAAAAGTGAACAAAAATGGTAGTAAAATGCAGAGATGAGACTTGACCCACCCGAATCCATGCACATGTACATACAATGTACACGCCGTGGGCCAAACTCAGATCGTCGGACTACATTGGAGTCTAGACTTGGTCCTGAAACTTTCCGTCTGCTTTTTGCCCTCTCAGGCTAATTTATGTCTTTTTTGTCTCGCGTTCGCAGAAACTCCACACTTTTTGTTTCTGGCTACGTCACTCAGCGGCGCAGTCGCGCTTACCATCCTTGTCGCACAGCTACAGGTGAGTTTTTTTTACATATTTTTGCATTCAATTTATTGCAAACTCATATATAATGAAAGCGCTTTCATGTACGCTCTTGTTGGGAATATGTAATTGCTAATTCATGTTAACTGTTAGAGAGATAGTTCATGTTTTATGCTATAACCGTCAAAGTAGTCATGTCCTACATGGTGCCTCTTACTCGTAAGGAAAAACGGAATGAAAATAGAAGCGTGTACATCGTAACTCTGAAATAGATTTGACGTTGTCGTTTCTGTTTTTTCCCTCCCCCTTCAGGTGGCTAACTTGTACAGTCAGAACAGAGCGCTGGTCCTTGGGACGTTAAGTGGACTTTTTGCCAGTTCGTGCACTGTGTTTTTCGTCTTTTCGGTGAGTTGTTTACCAATGACGCATTGTATTGTGAGTTCCGTATCTAAGATTGTAGTACGACGCTAAGAGACACTAACTCCACAGTTCAGCACAGTTCTAGGTGCTACCTTGAAATGACAATATTATTGATATGCAACAAAAAAGCCCGGGGATAGAACTTGTCAAACCTGATAAACTTCCACGTCTTGTGACATTATCCAGACATCAGGTTGTTTTGGGGGCGGATCCAAATAGAGTGTGTTGGGTGGGATAGGACTAGAAGAACGGTTTGAAAGTTTCGAAAAAATGTACACAAAAAAAATGGCAAAAAAAAAACCAACAAAAACAACAGCAACAGCACAACGGTATAAAAAAGTATATCATGAATAGGGTAATGACACATGCCCCCCCCCTCCACACAATTTTCTAATGGGGCCGTCCGTCATCTTGCGTTGCCATGGAGCCAGACACGCTATTGAATGTGAACATTAATTCACTTCGCTGGAGCTTTTGTTCACATTCCTAAGCCACAGAAACGGTCGGACGACAGGTAATTACTACAGCTCGCGGACAAAGATGAACTATGTTGTTATGTATCATTTGACCTTGTAAATTATCAACTTATCTATAATTCATCGCGATTGCTCGATAAATCACGTGTCTCCTTGACGACGTGAGACGAAGGACGGTCCTTTTGTGTGTGTGTTTTTGTTTTTTTGGGGGGGGGGATGTTTCAGTACCCAGTTCACGCAAGGACATTCTACGTCCTTGACTCACTTAACTGCGATAAAACATTGTGTTATTGTTTTACCATTATTAGACCTGCTCACATTAAATGGACATCTGTCGTTCGGCCATGGCCGTAATGTTGTTATTTTATCTTTCGCTTGCCTTGATCAAGGAGGTTAAAAAGCAAAATAAAATACAATTGAATTTAAAGCTCCTTGCATTGATATACACCCAACATGTTGACACAAGAAGTGAAGGACACAGCAACAGAATGTATCCCTAACAAATATCTAAAAGTCTAGGGCTGAATGTTTATGTTTACCGAATGAGACCATATTGTTTTTGCTCTGTTCCCTCTTCTTCTTCTTCAAACAAATAAGGTCAATGACCTGGACCAGACTTCTGTCACCATGGTAACTGGTTACATCATGTTGCAATTTTATAGCAGGAGGGATTTAGACGCCTGTCACCATATATATGAATGTGTTTGAGTAAGAATTAATAGAGCAGACCATATGCGACGGTAAACATTATGGCTTTCGCTTTGCAAATGTTATCTTTCTGGTTAAGTTATAATTTACCTCATTTTAAGCATATCGAAAGCGCTTTCGCTAAAGAAAGTTTAGACTGCTTATCAAATCTTTTTTAACTGCCGAATCTCCGTTGTCCTCAATTTGCGTACTGGACGAGAGATTCGGCAGCTAAAATAATAAACCAGGCCACAGCAAGGAGGGCCTGCAAGGGGGGTATTGATTACGAATTACGCTAAATTTGCGCCGCCGATTACGAATTACGTTAAATTCTCAGAGCTGATTACGAATTACGTTAAATCATGAGGATTCCCGACCGTCTAAAACACAGCAACTAATATTTCTACGTCAGAACTATTGCCTTTGTGTTGATTGGCGCATAGGCGGTAGATCCGGGAGTTTTTTGGAGTGAAGACAAGTTCTGGCGGGTGACAAAATCAGGCGAAATCGGGTTCGAACCGGTGGCTGCCGAAGGCACCGGGCGATAGGTGAAGCCGATCAGCGAGTTCCGAGCGCGCCATACACAAACACCGAGATTAGAAATTTTGATTGGGGGGGGGGGCAAGATTTCGGGCGCTTGAAGGCGACCGTCAGCGAGCGCCGCAGGCGCGAGCGTGCTATAGGGGAAATTTTGAATTTATAACCCCTCTGAAACACTATTTCCAGCATTTTGAGACCTAAATTTTGACTGGACGGCATTACCGGTTGTGGATTGGACCATTTTGAAATCAGCCTACGCTATTATGATCTCATGGATTATGCTTTACGTCGCATAAAAGTAACTGATTACGCTTTACGGAGAATAAAAACGACCAATTACGCGTTACGGCTAATGTACCGATTACGAATTACGATGATTTTGGACGGCCGCCTACGTATTACGAAGGCTAAAAAGGCCTGATTACGCCTTACGAAAAAGGGCTTGCAGGCCCTCAGCAAGCTGCTTGCCCATCGATTTTTACCCATAACGCCCCTTCATTTACCCATAATGCCCCGCGTTTCCCAGAGAGGGATGGGATCGTCAAAAAAGTGTACAGATCTGTATGATTAACCAATCAGCTCCACTGTTACAGAAACTGTACGAGCGTGGGTTCAGCATCCACGTCCTGTTCTACCTGTGGACCGGCGGGGCCGTCATACAGTTTCTCAGCGCCATTTTCCTGACGCCGGACGAGCCCATTCTCCCGCCGGCGCGGGGGTCAGAGGACACGTCCCTGGGAGAATCCTACTCCGGCGGGTCGTCGGAAAAGTCGTCGTCCAACTCTGTGTACAGGAAGGGCTCCAAGGACCAATGGTAAGGACGACTGGAGTTCAAAACATTTCAATCTGGCAAGAGCCGCAGGCAAAAGTCAGTACCACTTTTGATAATCCTGTTTACAAACAGACAGGAAACCCAAATAAAGCCAATAGAAATGACAATGGCACCAAAATGTAGCATCATCCTTGATAACAGAATTATTGTAACGTTACAGATTGACATTCAGCCTCGAAAATTATTTCTCCACTTGGACGAAAATTCCACCAGAGGAAGTACTTTGTAAGGCCACGCTAAAGACCCTTCAACCATTTTCTGTACATCATCTGAAATGCTTCAGTTACAAAGCCAATGCGCTTCCCTGCCCAGTATTTTTTTCTATTCCAAGATTTAATTACAAGATGCATATGGCGACGGCACACTCAACATATTTTTATGGAGCCACCAACGCAGACAAACGCATGAACGAACAACAGACATAAAGTAAAGTGAGGAAATTCGTGCCTGTCCCAAAGGCACAAGATCGGTGCACGGTTGGCATTGCAGGATTCGAACTCGGGACCTCTTGGTTCCGAGCCGAACGCTCTGCCGTTACGCCACACGACCCCAGTAGTTTCCAGGCTTGTCGACTATACTACGACACGTAACTGAGGAATAAGTTGCGTTCTGAACCCGCCGTAGGTTGACCACAGAGGTGCAGACGGAGCCCAGTGCCCGGTCCCTGTACCTGTCTCCGGACTACCTGTGGCTGCTCGTCTGGCTCTCCATCTTACAGCTCAAGTTCTTCTTCATGGTCGCCATCTTGAACCAACAACTCAACGTCCTGTCTGGAGACCTCGGTTCATCAGGTGAGGCGTGTTATTAATTTTCACGGGATAAGGCCACACCAAGTAAATTTTATGGATGACGTCCGCGCGCGCATTGATTTTGGCCTCTTCCTAGAAAAAAAAAAACACAAGAAATTTTGCTTCCTGTAACTATGACCAAAGTCACGGCAGTGTCGCAAATCGTCAGATTGACGTGAAACCCGTAACGCGAGGTGTCGGAACAGAACAGAAAATTTTTCACTGTCCACTGTTCCACCTGATTTATTGCTGTTTTGATGATGAATAAAAGACTTCTTGCTTGTTACACTGTGTCACCTCATTCAATTGGTGTCCTAACATTTGTCGTCTCTTAGTATATTTCTAATCTAGGCATCTTGTTTTTTAGGGCCCTTCTTGTTTTTTTTCGCCCTCTCGCATTAGATTTAGGGTCTCCAAAGGACGTCATCCATAAAATTTACTTGGTGTGGCCTAAACATAAAAGACATGATAGCTTTCAGTTTGAAAGTTCACCTGTGTTGGTAGAATCACTAAGGACGAAATTTCTGACACAAGGAATTTTCGACTGAAAGACCACCAGTCTAGGTCTGTTAGTTCAAGGAATGAATCCATTATAACGTCGTTTTGTACAACTTGCGAAGAAACGGCACGGTATCAGAGTATCTCTATCTGTTCAACAACATTTGGCGCAAAGACCTCATTGTTATATTTAGCTAAAATGGCACAGAGAAGTTTGTCGGGTAAAGGTTCAAAAGTGATCCCCTAGTTTCCTTCTCTTCCCAGTGAACTGGTACCTGAGCTGCTTCGCCATCATCCAGGGTGTCGGGCTCCCCTTCGCACCCCTGTCCGGTTGGGTCATGGACAGGGGCTGCAAGAAGCCAATAGCGGCGCCAAGCGTCTTGATGATGTACTACAGGATACAGAACATCGGCCATCGACTGGCCCTTCACCAGGACAGCAACAGCAACTACAACTTCAACCTGATCTACAGTCTGAAACACGACAGGAGAGGTGAGTTGAAGGATCGAGGTTGTAAACCTCGTGGGCTACTACGTTGCCTTTTTAGTGTGGTTTCACTGTTTGGTGGAACTGTTCACAAGACTGTTCGCAAATAATTTACCAGACTGAATGACTCATTTGTACTTTCCTACACCAAAAACTATAGAAACTGCCTCTATGAAATATTTTAAGAAGTGTTTTCCCCTGTAAACTGACAAGTGTTCTCTAACCCTACCATCTGCAGCCCTGGAGCTCCAGTTGCCAGACGAGCACGTAGATCAGAAGGATCAGTCCAGAAGAATTAAGAACTGCGCAGTTTCCAGTTTCCTCACTTGTTGTCTAGGTCTTGTTGTGTGCATTGCAGACGTCATTCCAGTCATACAAGTCCAGGTAAGCTATGTTTGTAGGTTCAAATGCGCACCGAATTATGCATATTCAGTGAATGAATGAATTGTTTATTCAAACTGGGAGACTCTCTCACAGCCAAACGGCTGAATTGCAGATTCCATTACACATTTTTAAAAGTATCATCAAGTATCAGTGTGTTGCATATTGGATATTGAGGATAATTAGATGATAATCGAATCCCACTTCTGACACCATGTTATCTTTCTGGGATGTTCTTGCAATATTGGAGGGTTCTCTTTTCTCTTGTATGTTTTGCACGTTTATACTTATTTTAATTCACGTACAGTGCTACATTTAGGCTCAACGTTAACATTGTTATGTTTGTTTTATTTTTTAGATCCTTGGGTTCGTGGCTTTAATTGGCCTAAGAGGCTTCTTGTACTCTACGTATACAGCGTACATCACGATCATGTAAGTACACGTGTATTTTTACTAATCCGATTATTGTATAAATGTACGAGCTGCACGAAAAGTGGACGGTTTTTACGGATTTTCTATACGTTTTGTCATTTTTTAGATTCACTTTCGGTAACCTTTACAGAAAGAAAAGCGGTCAAAATCCTGACAAAACTTATAAAAACGTTAAAAAAACGTTCGAAAATATGTTCAACCTTTGCTCGGACAGTAACATGCTCAACACAAAGATTTGGTACATGGTGCTCTTTAATTTTCTCTCCTAGATTCCCGCCATCTCACCACGGCCGGCTGATGGGTATCGGGTACGTGGTGGCTGCCGTGGTGGACCTACTGATGTACCCTGCGTTCCTACTGATGGAGGGTGCCCTGCGGGGAGACCCGTTTTACGTGAGTGTATTTTATACGTATCCACGTAGAGCCTGCAGAACGTATTCACGCGATGTTATCGGTGCTTCCGCCGCCATGGTGGGCGGGTCCTTATTTGCATTCCAACACAACGAAGGTCTACGCAGGTCGCGGTTTCATCACGGATATGCAAATGAGTACATGCAAAAATTACTCCGTTCAGTTTCATTTGCATGTTCGTCATCCCCCGAATGAGATGGCAGCCAAGACACCTCACTTTGTAGCCACCATCATTTTCGAATGACAAAACACGTTGGGCATTGACAATTGACACCGAATTAAAAGCCCAGGAAGTCTATACCGACCCCCTTTCTGTTGAGTGATGACTAATGCGTCCTTGGAATCCGATTGGATTATATGGATGACATCCTCTGGGAGCCCCAAAACTGATGCGCGCGTGCGAATAAAAAAAAAGTTTTGCAAAAAAAAAGTTGCTTTCATTATGAAATCTACGTGGTCATGACGGTTGAACAAATGAGGCAGAATATGGTTTGGCGAATAATCTACTACTAGTATTTCATTTCTTTAAATTTCCGTCTTTTTTCGTTTGATTTTGGCATTCTACGACATTGGTACGGTTTTTAGATATTTTTTTGCAACTTACGGCATATCTTTGCTCATTTGCAACTGTTTTGTACGATTTACAATATGGTTGAAAACTTTTCTTTTTTGGAAACGGCCGAAAATTCATGCGCGCGCGGATATCATCCATATAATCAAATCAACATGGCCTGATTTAGGTAAACATTTATGCTAAGATTGGCAACATACTTGGTCCGTTTTGACAGTTTAGAGACCCAAGGATAGCAATTGTATATGTATATAGTTATGAAGAGTTAATGCCCCGCCCCGAGGTGTATATGGTGAGATAATCCCTTGTCAGGTGCGATAACCACCGAATAAATCACCGAGTGAGCGTAACGTAGAATTTTTAATGAGCCAACAAATTCTTTATCTGATGTTGTGTTCCGACACTTTTTCTTACAGATCAATGTTGTGCTGCTACTGCTGTCCCTGGTGGCCTTTGGTTTACCGGCGTACCTTGCGCGCAAATGTCAAAGGTCAGCCAATGGCAACCATTCACTGACGCTGCTGCCCTCGCCAGCCAAAGTGTAACAGGTGTATAGTTTACCGCCATGCAAAACTCGATAGAAGTTGTAAACACGGTTGCAGTTTTTGAAAACACACAGGGTAAAGGTCTCAGGCTTCTCCGTATTCATGGGGTGGTACTTTTATACCAAGGACAAGAAAAATTAAATAGTATTTTCAATATAAAGATTTGTCTACATTTTTTGTTAAAGATGGTATGATGCAATGGAGGAATGACTGTGTAGCCGTGCAGGAAAAATTCAGGATAGACAAGAGTGAATCATATCATACGGGTGGACACATTTCCAGAAGCAAACTGTTGAAACACAGACAATCTACTTACGTTGGTGCTACATTTTTTAGCTCTCTTCTTATTCAGATCTCAGTGTAATGATTTGTACAAATGGTACAAATGTCTAGTCAATAGCCACCACCACGAATGGCTATCCATACAGTCTTCTGTATATTATTTGTAACTCTTGTAAAATGTTGGTGGTTATCATGTTGTAATGATGGTGTTATTATGTTGTAATGATGGTGTACATTGTTGTATATTCACTGGTCATAAAAATGGGATAAATTCGCAGAACTTCAATGTATAACAGTAGCTGTATATAGTGCTGCGTGGCTACTACTACTAGTATAGTACATTCTTGTAATGTCGACACTTGTTGCAATGGACATGGAATGAATATTCAGGTAGCTCGGGTGCTGTCTGATATGTTATGTACATTTTGTTCAGGGTAGAAAAACTTAACTTTAGAAAAAATATTTCGAAGCAGGTACAGATGTTGATATTTCTACTTTGCTGTTAGTATTGAGATGTTCAAGAGACATTTGAAGTCGTGGCCCTATGTTACAGGGTGACAACCAGCGTCATCAAAATGGCGGTACGTACGACGTATGTCGTCCAAGCTTCATCTGAGAATTTTTTTCCAATCTTTCATGTAGGATAGGTTACACACTTACTGAAGAACTATGGAAGCCCTAGCTCGAAGGGTTAGCTGCCGCCATTTTGATGATGTGGGTTGTAGCCCGTGTAGTACGTACATGTACATGTACTGACCAACCTCGTGCAATGAACTACCATGGGACCACTGTGGAATATATGTACTGAGTTGAGATGACTGTACTTGTCTTAATAAGCAACGTATAATCGTGTTTAAAAACGTATTACGCGTCCTACAAATTATGATTATTGGTATCAAAGCGCATCTTCAAATGTGTGTAGGGGAGGGGCCAGGACATTTGGTTTTTGTACAAAAACAGGCATATTCATCAAGGCTTCAAAATACACTTACCACAAATTTCAATCTCCGAAAGCTACGCTGGGTGGCTAAACATGTCTACTTGCTGTTTGTGGGAAAACACGCTTTGTTTTAAAGAGCTACAGCCGATCAGAGATAAACAAACACTGACCTTTGAACCTCCAGCTGGGAATCGCCTATAGGTAGCTGAGGGGGTGTACATATCCCCAAAAGATGGAACATAACACCTGTATACAACGAGGTCACAAGTTTTGTCTAGATTTCAAAAGTAAACATACTTTTTGTCTACCTGGCAGAAAACTGGAAAATCTGACCAGAATTGGTCCCAGAAAAAATTCTATAATATAATAACAGAAACTGCGCAGGTACAATTCCTGGCCCCTCTCCTGTAGAAGAAATACGCTGAATTTTGATTGAATGATTGACTTTCAAATCTAGTGACATTTGTTTCTAGAGACTCGTACTAGTTTTGTATATTACATGTACTTGAAAGTTCATATTGGACTGTATTTTAAACCAGAGATAGAAGACAGTCACCTGAGTTGAAGGTTGCTAAAAAATGAGGAGTACTAGTCGTACTCCCCAGAAAATATTATATATCACAACACGAATGGATCGTTTATATTACAGAGTTATAAATAAAATCTATGGAAGCTTCTGCCATATGATGGTTTCGGCTCTTCTATTATACAAACAGATATATTTGAAGTAATGTTATTTGCGATATTTTAAGCTATCTTTATATTTGGAGCTTTCGCAGACTTTGTATCTGATTATCTGCTATGGAGTGGTTCGTCTTTCCTCAGGTTGCCGAACTAGCGAAGTCTTTTTTTGTAATTATGAGCAAAAGCTAACTAGGTTACACAAGCGAGTCGTAAAATTTTTTGGCTTGAGTTTTTCACGTTTGTTTGAGTTCCATGTCTGCAAAGAAGACGAGGTAGCCGATGCCGGCGCCCAGGAAGACTGCGATGGCCAGCCAGCCGTTGTACGTCATGACCACCAGCATCAGACAGTAGGCCCCCACCACCTGCAGTACATGCAGCAGGGACTGGGCTAGGTGGTACCGTAACCTGGAACAGGAGCGAAGAGAATCAATCAATCAATCAATCAATCAATCAATCAACTGTAGCTGGTACTGTGTATGGCAAAGAAACAACAATGGTACATACACAAACTAATACTAAAATATGATTCTAACAAGCTAGTCCATAATGATACTAAAGCTAATCTATTGTGTTTTCTTAGGAAGAGTATTATTACATTCTGTAATTCAGGGGGTATATCAGCTATTTACAATATGATGTCGCTTTTATAGTGATTCAAATATGAATTTTCCAACGTACACTGATAACTGGGTAGGACATGAAAGGAGAGTATTAAAGATATCTGATTTTGAGTGAGGTAGCGTAACATTAGTTTTGGTGACTTTTGTCTGTTCAAACGAAAAACAAGGAAGAGTTGCATAATTTCTTTTTCATATGATTATGAGAATCTATTCCAAGGCTGCTTGCATGCCACAAATCAGTAAAATCCATTTAAATTGGAGTTATCCTCGATCAAAGTTTCCGACAAAAAATACCCCTGCAGTTCCATAAATATCATAGGGGGCGTGTAGGCCACTTTCATCTGATTATGAGAATCTCTCCCTAAGCTAACTGCATGCCACAAATCGGGAATATCCATTCGTTCTTATAAACTGGAGTTATCCTCGATCAAAGTTTCCGACAAAAATATCCCATGCAGTTCCAAAACAATATTGTAGGGGGCATGCATGTACTAGGCTCCCTGTGTGATATGTGCCAGCAACGCGCATTTCTGCAGCGACTCGAGCTCTGGGTCCAAAAGTCGGTAGACTTTGGCTTAGGTCGTGTTTAATCATGTAGGATATAGGTGGGTAAGGTGCCAAAACGTCACGCGAAAGACCAGGTTCAGAGTAATCCCAACATGTAAAAAAAGTATCGAAGCATTGTGCACGGTGGATACTACAGTGTGAAGTATGTTTAACACAAAACAAAACGGTAACATTGGCAATAGAATTGTCCACTGCCGTTGTGTATAATCTATGGAAGCACTGACATTACATCATGCTTTTATATAAACCTACCACATAACAAAATTTACCTGTATTTTATCTCCTTCAGCATTACAGAGAATTGTACTAGATTTTTTTGCCCATACTAGTTCTTGTTCTGTTATGCTTAACAAAGTAATGTCACAGTCAAGGTACATGTAACGTTAGTACCATAATAATAAATAATATCCAGGTATTACAGTATATTCAGTTGTCAGTTGACGTACAAACGTAAAGTACAACCTACTTACTTCCTCTTCCTGGTCAGAGCGACGTCCGGGGGTGATCTGAGAAGCGGCGTGCTCTCCTCGGCCTCCGGGTCGGACGTGTCCCGTGTCTCCCTGTCGACCCATAACCCCTTCCCCTTCCCCACCCACCCCACCAGCCGCTTCAGACCCTCGAACAGCGCGCCGAAACAGATGATCGCGAGTACACTGAAGGCCATGCCGGTCGCATCCTGCACAGACCAGCCGTCAAACAAAATGACGGCCTGGTCAGACCAGTAGAAGGACATCGGCATGTCCATTTTTGCTGCAACAAGCTTCGTCTCTTTCTCTCTCACACAAACACCTTGCTCTCACGGACGTTCCAGACCTGGCTGTATTTTGGACTCTGCCCCCCTCCCCACACTTCGAGATCAGACACCTGACGTAGTATTAACTTATCAACCAAGCGTGACGTCATCACTACCCTTCCTGGACGACCTACAGGTCGAAAACCTATGGCACTATTGTGGCAATCCTAGGTAGGTATTAGACATATATTTACGTTTATTGCGACGGAAATAATATAACGCTTATTGTGATGGTAAAAAAAAAAGACACACATTAACTTTAATGTTGTTGCTCGATTCCAACGTGTCAACCCACGCCATTTTGAACTATAAAGCATTTATTGCGTGAAAACACCATGTTGAACATGGTCATTTAAACTTTCCGCTAGTGACCAGTTTTTGCAGCTCACAGACGTTGTTCACTGGTCAGTGGATCCACAGTTTCCACTCTGACTCCCATGTCTGCTGAGAAGACGAGGTAGCCGATGCCGGCACCCAGGAAGACTGCGATGGCCAGCCAGCCGTTGTACGTCATGACCACCAACATCAGACAGTAGGCAAGAACCACCTCAAATACATGCAGCAGGGACTGGGCAAGGTGGTATAGCAACCTGTGAAGTTAACATCAAAATTAAAGTTGGGCATAGGTCAGCTCCCCTCTCCGTTTCTATAGTCATTGGGCCACACAACCGTGCGAGCCCAGCAACTTCATTTAACTTCCGATTTTTTTTATTGCAACATCTATTGACAAAAACGGCACACTCAAGTTTTAGACTTATATTCAAGCTGCCATCGACACATAAGACAATGTATAAGCAAAACACTCAATTATTGCTCCATATACAAACATTATTAATTTGAACGATTCCAAACGGTTTTTGTAATATTTCAACATGTCAGTTCTATCAGTCTTTGGAAATATTTGGACACTTTTAATTATTTAATCTCCGAAATTTACAGCTGCCATAAGATCTACAGAACAGGACAAAATGTAAAATAAAAACATTAGTTGCGTCTGGAATTCTTTGCCAGCTTTAGGGAAGTGTATATTTGCTTGTTGTCACTTTAACGTTTGTCGTAAGATTAGTTGAGGATGGTCGAAATTGTCCAAACACCAAATAAAAGACGCTGTGTAAGTGAAGTGACAGCGTGTGTCGTTAGATGACAGTTAGGCCATGTTGATTTGATTATATGGATGACATCCGCGCGCGCATGAATTTTCGGCCGTTTCCAAAAAAAAAAAAGTTTTCAACCATACTGTAAATCGTACAAAACAGTTGCAAAATGAGCAAAAATCTACCATAAGTTAAAAAAAATTAATAAAAACTATACCAATGTCGTAGAATGCCAAAATCAAACGAAAAAAGACGAAATTGTAAAAAAATGAACTTGAAGACTAGATTATTCGCCAAACCATATTCTGTGCCATTTGCTCAACCCTCATGACCACGTAGATTTCATTATGAAAAGAACTTTTTTTTTTGCAAAACTTTTTTTTATTCGCACGCGCGTATCAGTTTTGGGGCTCCTGGAGGATGTCAACCATATAATCAAATCAACATGGCCTTACTCACAAAATGTTCGTGCATTGCTTCAGAAATATATGCAGCTGGCCGAAGTCCATTTTAGTGACGTAATTGTAACAGATCAGGCAACAAACAAAATATTATATTTGAAAAATTTACCAAATGATAAAAGGTTTTTTGAGAAGAATAGTACATGGAACCCATGGGCGCCGTTCCTAACAAGTGGCACGAATAAAGGGGGCAAGAATAATCATTAAACAAACGTACATAAACAACAAGGGTCTGCGCAAACACTAGAACGATCTATCTTAATTGGCAAACGCGAAAATACACCCGTGGTTTATTTTTTACCAGTTTTGTGAGGCGTAACGGCATTCTTTCCAACTTGAACCTATCTCCTCCTGTTTTAACAGAAGTACTCGTAGGTAACGACTACCTTAACTGCTAGCTAGAACTTACCCTTGTTTATAATGCTGAGACGTCTGCAGGTGTTGCCCGCCATTTCTCACGTCCACGAGGCCTTCCTGTCTTCTCCTCCCCAGCCACCACACGGACCGCTTCAGTCCCTCCACCAGAGCCGCGATACACAGGATCCCCGCCGCACTGAACACCATACCGACCGCGTCCTGCACAGACCAGCCGGGGAACAGTATGGTAGCGCGGCTGGAGAAGTAGAAGGACATCGGCATATCCATGGCGGCGTTCGTTGGTCACGTTTCAGTACAATAAGTTTGTTTTAAAGATAATGGATCCCGAGCGACATTGTGTTTCCTGGTTCATCGGCTTGAAGAAGCTACTGACTCGGTGGTTCCCAGTTTGACGACAGCGAGTTTGATTGATGAGAATATCACCGGAACAACAGTTCAGTTTTCTTTGTCTCGGTACGCAGTGGCACTGCAAGTGGACTCTGAGCCCTGTTTGAGCGGCGAGTTCTGAGTTTGTCTAGCGCTGTAGCCTTGTGGTGACGGCTGTAAGCTCATGAGGGTAGCGTGTCTGTGTTACTAGCAGTTAATACAAGGCCATGCTGATTTGATTATATGGATGGCATCCTCTGGGAACCCCAAAACTGATGCGAGCGTGCGAATTAAAAAAAGTCTACGTGGTCATGGAAGTTGAACAAATGATTAAATTTAAACACACAGGGTATGGTATGGCGAATAATAGAGTCTTCACTTCCTTTTTTTCACATTTTCTTCTTTTCCTTTGGAACTGATCTTGGCTTTCTACGACATTAGTATCATTTTCAAATATTTTTTTTTGCAATTTACGGCACATATTTGCCCACTTGGCAGTTGCTTTTGCATGTTTTTGGGTACATTAAGGAACAGAGTAACGAAGCTATTAATGATTATAGCTACATCAATTTTAGACAAGGTTCTAGATTTTTGTGTCCTTCCTAACAAAAAGGAAGTATACACTTGGTTCACTTGGTTGTCATCATCCAATTAGCTATTATAACATCCACAACTTTATCTTGAAAAGAACCAATCGCAAGTTTCTTGTGTTTATACGGAGTGCTAGCTAATCATTTGGGTCGTAAAACTCGAAGGTTGGTGCTGCGTTTGGTCCGATCTCGGGATCCCCAGCCGGGTCTATCGGCGTCTGCACCAGTTTGTTACCCCAGGCAGTAAGGGAAGACGTCATGCCCGTACAGTCCTTCATCTTGTCTGGGTTTCCGTTGAAAGCCTCATGGATACACATCAGCAGGCCTGTGTAGATCTTGTTGAAGTTGTCTGAATATTTGCGAGCCAGTGATCCTGGAGGGTAACTCTCTGTGCGCGGGTTAGAAATGGTCGGCCAGACGCCATCTTCATAGAAAGGCACCATTCGTCCAACAAAGCTGTATGACCTGTCACACTTTATCTCGTCATCACATGGGAAAAAGTTGTCAAAGCACTGGCCGAGTGATGATGAGTTACTCTGGTCTGTCTCTATCAGCCTCCTTCCGTGCAAAACTTCAGCAAATGTGAAGAAGTGTGAGACCTCGCCTCTCTCGTCAAACGGGTCGCAAGGATCGGACCCCTCGCCCTCGCTAGCGATGTCCACTATGGCAGCTACTGCACTGCGAAGATCATGCACCGCAAATGGGGAACTGTCTACATTGCTGAGCCACTGGTCACTGGTTATTTGCTTTGACCTTGTGCCAGTAAATATGTTTTTGTATTTATTTTGAGCCTGGAGCTGAGTCTGCAGTTTAACCATGGGACAGAGTATCTGATGGATGTAGATAGCACCGATGGTCTGAGGCCTTGTTGATGTCTGATTGCACCGTCGACCGATTTCCTCGCCAATGTCCATAAATTCGGCATCATGTTCGTCATTGCGGTACTCTTTGAGACGTTTTTTATGAATGCGAAGATATTGAATCACATCAGAATCCGCTGTTTCACAGTTTGGCCTCTCTATCCTTTGAAACACGGTTCGGATCTGGTTCAACGAGCATCTGGCAAGCTTAACCAGAAGACCAGGGTTGGCGCCCCCAGGGAGGGCTGATGGGTAGGACGTTACTGTAGACCGAATGTTTAAATATGGCGCACCACCAATCGCGTTCAGAAGGTTGGCGACCAGAGCCACGTGTTTCATCTCATCGACAACGACACTTCTGATCAGGGCCGTAACCTCTTGGTTGTCGCCATCTTTTATCGAGAACAGCGCACTCAGATATGGGGGAATGGTGGACAGTTCCAGCTGTAGAGCTATCTGCAGCGTCTTTTTTAGTTCGTCTAAGGTGGCGGTAGCGGTACCCACCCGTGGGAGATTTGAGGATGGGTCCAGGTCGTCCAACCAGGATAAGATCATTTCTCGTTTTTTGGGAGATAAATTTCTGGTCACTGGCATGTAATTTGGGTCCGTTTCAGGAAGAGTAAGAGAGTATTTGAGTAATTTCCGTTTTCTAGTAACATCCTCGTAGCTCGCAAGGTTGATGATGGGCTTCATGACTGGATAGAGATTGGCGTACTGTTGGAATATCGGGTAGACATGTTCGTACCAGGTCACTTCACCAGGGGTAAAAGTGTACTGTGAATACAGGAGGACTGAAATATTCAAGCCATGAACCTTAAATTCTGTTCCGTTGGCCCCAATCTTGGCAATCAAATCGTATATGTATACTTGGCCATCTAGCTGCTTTTCCTTTCTAGGCCGACCCCGGGATTCGTGGTTCGGAACGTGATCGAAGAAATGCCGTTGTTGTCGGATGGTTCACTGTTAACAATTTCTATTGCAGGTTTCAAACGATCCAGTGGAAACGATAGACTGGTACGGACGAAAACCTGTTGGGCAGACTTGCCAAACTGGAAAGCGCGAAACTTCATGGTCCATTCAGTGTCGGGCTCTTGTCGCGCAATACGTTTGTCCATGGCCTCAACGAACAAGCCGTCTGATCTTTCCTCCAACACTGGCTCACATCGCGTTGAGGATATTTCTTGAATAACCGCCAAGGGCGTATTCCCAATAGCTTCCATTGCCTGGGGATTCACTGAAAGTTCAACTATGCCCGCAGTCCTCCGAAACCAGTCGTTTCCACCCAGTCTGATTTCTCCTAAGTTGTATGACTCGTTGTTCACAAGTTCGCATCTTCGTGCAGTTGCGTTGTAATAGATTAGATACAGGCGTTTGCCTGACGGTTGGATCAAGTTACCTTTGATGTCGAAATTCAAGCTGTTGCCAAAGTCCAGCACAACATTCTTTTTGTTCATGTCAACATATAATGGCAAGTGACCACCTTCACCAGGTCCTTCAGTTTTCCACAGCATTCTGCTGTACGGGCCATAAGGAAGAGGAGTCCTCGACACTACTGCATATATAGTACCAACCACACGGCCAAACGAAAAGTCGGGAGAATCTGATGTTTCTATCAAGTAGCGGAGGTTGATTTTGACGTATAACGTAAAACCAGGCAAACAGCGGAGAGACTTGACCTGCTGCATGAAGTTGGAGCGTTTTGCCAGAGGCCCTTCGATCCACTCCACGTTCTGCAGAGTTGAAATCCAGGCGGCAACAAGCCTGGTATCCTCCGTCACTGTGCAGCACTCCGGTCCCTCACACGCGTCGTGCAGGTGGTTGAATGACCGAGGTGTGAAGTCCCCCTTGAAGAACCCGTCCACGCCAACCACGAGGCCCCACAGCTGAGATTGATATTGTTGATCTGCATCCAGGTCGACCAGCTTTCCTGCAGCGGTGCCGTTTGAGCCTAATAATAGTCAAAATATTTAAAGTTAAAACGTTTGGTCCAACACAAAAAATTCTCTCACCTAGAGCTCTAGTATTTCATGTAGGTATTAGATATCCAAATTCTTGTTCCAGTCTGAAAGCTTAAAAATTTCTTAATGCGTTTGCCTCCTCTTAAACTTTTACAACTGATATATCCTGCTGCAGATTGCCACCTTAAAGACCGACTCAAAATTTAATCATTTCTCTCAAATTTTGAGATCATAAACCTTTTTAAACAAGATGTTTTGATTCAGCGGCAACATTACATATGAAAAGCAACACTGTAACAAAGTAAAAGTAAAAGACAAAATATTAAATCAGAGCCTTGTCACCTCCTCTCTTCATATGTGTCTGTCATCCAAGTTCCCAAGTTCCGGCATGGCAACAGACATATTTACCCATTTTTGGCATGTTGTCCTCTGTTAAAGGGCAACCAAATTTCATGCCCCCCCCCCCCAAAAATAAAATCAGGCGAAAATCAAAGCGCGCGTCGATGTCATCCATAAAAATGACTTGCTGTGGCCTTACCTATAATCAGCCGACCAACAGCAGGATCGTCTTGGACACACTATCCCGAGCCGCTATGCACTATGGGAGGGGGAAGATATCAATCACCCACACATGCCAGTTGCTGTGTAGCCACCGTTCCAGCAGGTCACCCATATGGCAGCTCCTGCCAAAGTATATGCGCGGATGTCTCCTCAGGAAGGACAGCAAGAGAATGGCTAGGCCCAGAGAACTCATCCTGACCACAGGAGGAACACCTTTGGAGTTTGTGTAATAGGACATAACCTCCGTGTGCGGGAATGTTGGAGGAGAGGAGACTTAGAATGCTGGATGTGTGTGTATGTGTTTTCCCGCCAAAACACAGGGCCGAGCCTACAAGTGCAAAGCGTTTTCTAGGCAGTCAGCTACCTTCCCTGTGTCCGTGCGAGGTACTGTTTTTATTCCAGTTGACCATTTTTTAATACTAGTATGTTGTACAAGCTGTATCGTAAAACGAAGAAGTATGCCAAGATGGTTAGCCAAGAGTGAATTTTGTTTGTCCAACTTCCCCTCAACCTGCCCCCCCACCTTTTTTCTTTTATGGATGTGTTGATTTTTTGTTTTTGACTGTTGCACTAGTTTTCTGGATATAATTTTGTGCCATTTGTTGTTTTACAAAATGTACCACCGGACATGTTAGACAGGCAAGAAACAGACAACTTACTTAACATGTTGAACAGATGGTTTGAGAAAAAATTTGTTTCGCATAGCTGAGGAGATTGGAACATGTGTGTGAAGTTACCATCTCTGTGCCGTGCCTGTACCGGGGGTGATCCATTTCTGTGGTGCTTGGGGTGTAAGTTGAGTGTATTATTATGTTCTTTTTGTAACAACTTTGACATGACAGTAAAATTTGTTGTCAAGAGACCAACAGGGAATGATAGTTTTGTTTCATGAGTACCCCTGCTTACAGAGGAACAACAGAAGAGATAGTAATAATGCTCCACAGATGTACAAAGGAATTCCATCATAACAGGCTGAGGCTTTGTGCCCCCATCTGTGAACAGTTATCCTTGTTTAGATGCTCCCCGGACTGTTTGGAAAGTTTTTGCTTTTGAAATTTGACGGGTAAGAGCAAGTATAGATGCCCCCGGACTGTTCGGAAAGTCTTTGATTTTGAAATCTGACGGGTAAGAGCACTTTGGCTACTCCCCGAACTGTTTGGAAAGTTTTGTTCGAAATCTGACGGGTAAGAGCAAGTTTAGCTGCTCCCCGGACTGTGAAAAAGTTTTGTTTTTGAAATCTGACGGGTAAGAGCAAGTTTAGCTGCTCCCCGGACTGTGAAAAAGTTTTGTTTTTGAAATCTGACGGGTAAGAGCAAGTTTAGCTGCTCCCCGGACTGTGAAAAAGTTTTGTTTTTGAAATCTGACGGGTAAGAGCAAATTTGGATCCCTCCCCGAACCGTATGGAACGTTTTTATTTAAAATCTGACGGGTAAGAGCAAGTTTGGATGCCCCTCGTACTGTTCGGAAGACTTCGACTCTGAAAATCTTTGGATTGGACATGAAAGTTTGCAATTTTGATGTTTCTTATTATCCGACTCGTTCCTATTGTTTATTGTTGTTTGAGTATAGCATAAAAAAGCTTCCTGACGTACGCTCCGATGGGGTGTCAGGTTACACGCACATTGTAACAGACAATCTAACAACACATCACTGTTTGAGACACTTGAATGCTTCCTACCCCTAATACCTCCCTCGCCTCTCGCTGATTTCGTATCAATTTCTGAGTACGGTCAGAGTGAGGTGGGTTCCATGAATGCATGTTTGTGTTTAGCGGTAACAGTTTGAGCATGCCAGGATAAAATTGTAACACTAGTCCCTCTGTGACATTAGGTCAGTTGCACAAGGAATTACCTTCGTTACGGGGACTATAAAAAAAAAAAAACAATGCTAGATAGATCCACCGCTTAGGAGAAAATGTGCAGGTTGCCTTATTCTCCTTAGCGGTGACCGGTACCGTCAAATTCCCAGCGATTTTTCTCACATAGTCCCTGACAAGAAAACGACCGGCAGTCTGTCATTTTTCGCACGGTACACTTAACCCGAGAAGCGTTACATTTGTGTGGTATTTTCATAGACGGACGTATTGCACATCCATCCTGAACCGGGTTGTTTTCCCGAGTACTGTGACGTAATGACATGTACGTGCCACCTGGGACGGGCAGGTCCCGCAGGTGCGCTGAGAGAGTACTGTGTGTACTGTGCCACCTGGGACGGCAGTTCCCGCAGGTGCGCTGAGAGAGTACTGTGTGTACTGTGCCACCTGGGACGGGCAGTTCCCGCAGGTGTGCTGAAAGAGTACTGTGTGTACTGTGCCACCTGGGACGGGCAGTTCCCTCAGGTGTGCTGGAAGTACTGTGTGTACTGTGACATAATGTATGTGCCACCTAGGACGGGCAGTTCCTGCAGGTATGCTGGAAAAGTACAGTAACGTAATGTACTAGTATGTGCCACCTGGACCGGGTAGTTTCCCGCAGGTGTACTATTGTAATGCATGAGCTTGGTGTTGTCATGCATGAAGTTTGGAGAAAAACACGTCCCTCCGTAAACTAGTGCAATGTGTCACCTGGGCCTGGCAGTTTCCCGCAGTTGTGCTGGAAGAGTACTGTGACATATGCATGTGCCACCTAGAACAGGCAGTTCCCCGCAAGTCCACTGGAAGAGCACTTTGATACCGCAAACAACCAATACGTACAGAAAAGTATAGGCAGAAATGTACAATGTCGAGCCGGATATCGTGGGCTTGACCCAAAGACATTTGGTAGGGTCAAACGGGCATACATGTAAACCCCTCCCCATGGAACTGACAGTATTGAGAGGGGCATGGTACACGCCACATGCTTACAGGCTTCGAATTCCCAGCCGCCAGGGTAATACTGCGTAATTACCTGCACTCTCTCTTTCAGATAAGGATGAGAAAGGTAGTGGGCTTGGTAAAACATTTATTGAGTCCAAAGACGTGTGTTCTGCCCCGCGCCAAACCTCAGATTGACTGAGCTGAAGTGGCTGCCCCCCCCCCCGCCCGTGGGGATCGGGGATCGTCCGTTAATTACTTGATTTAACCGAGGCCAAATCATTCCTTCCACGTGAACGGACACACGTCTTGATTGCTCACAAATTAGGTTTCAACCCAAAGTTTTGAAAAAAAAAAAAAAAAATGTTGGAGTCGAAGCCGGGGCTTTTCTCCATCTGGGTTGTGCCAATCCCAGTGTGCCAATCCAAAACCTGATATCCGGGCTGACCGTTGTGACCCCAGTACCCCCACGGGGCAGGCAGTACAAGTCCGAACAAGCCCACTAGCACCATGTAGCACATGCCGGTGTATCTGACAACCTCGGTGTCGATTTCAGATATTTAAAAAATAGTCCAGGCAAAGTGGGAAGATAGTCCCACTGACAGTGGCTAGAAGACACACCCAGGTATCAGTCTGACAGGGTTTCAACAACTATGAAAAAGGTGCTAGTGTCACGGAAATGACAAGAAACCTACAGTGGAACTCACTGGAAGATAGAGGAAAGATGTCCAGACTATGCATGATGTAAAAATGACTAATAAACGGGGGATGTACCAACTACTAAGTACCTAATACCAGCCCAGAAGAGAACAAGAAATAGCCATGCCTTCAAGTACCAGAGTTATCAACCAAGGATTGAGGTTTTCAAGAATTCATTCTTTCCTAGAACTATTGCAGAGTAGAACTCACTGTCACCAAGTACAGTAGGGGCATTGTCAATAGATAGCTTTAAACAAAGTCTAGAGCTAGAAGTTCAAGGGTAAGTTTGTAACAAGTCCTTCGGTATAATATAACCAGCTGCCGCCGCGCCGCGTGCCTGCGAAGCTAGTGTGTTACGCCGAAAGGCGGTTAGTACCAGCAATACAGATACAGAACTACACTGCTGTCACTTCCTGACCCTTCGCCTCCAGCAATGTTTCCGTGATCATGATGAGCTACATAACCATAGCGCACCACCTTTTATTCAGGGACGATACCCAAAGAAGTCGTCTAATATCCAGCGAAGGGCAATGAATATGTCTCACAACTTGCCTACCCGGCACGAGAACGTAAGATACAAGACACATGGCGAATGACAGGGCTATCAGAGCGGCATTGGGTAAAAGCCTCGCGCACACTCGTAGAACACGACGACAGGATGGAGGGTAACATAACAGCACATAGCGAAGACTACACCTTGTAGGGGACAAGGTAAAAGAGGAGTTCACAACACATGGCTCTGATGAGGCAATAATCAGTGCAAAGGCACAGAAGGGCCTACATGGCCCGGTTCCATCAAACATTATGCGCTAGGTGAAGCCGGCTCGCTCTAATTCAACGTTCAGGTTTTGTCAAGACTGTCAGACACCACATGATTAAAATGAAACCTGCTCGTCCCCAGAACCATGCATTGCAAATCAGTACGGGCAGAGCACCTCATGCTGCGCTTGACACGAGATTTTGTCGCGCGGTCGATGTGGAGAACTGGACACAGGCTCACATGTGGCCGTGTTCTAGCGGAAGTGTTTGGCTATCCAACGGATATCCAACATCTGAACCGACTACACTCGATCAGGCACAAGAGAGTCATAAGAGTACAGGACTGTAAAGGTCCACACATTTTTTCCGTAAGGCGTAATAAGCTACATACATGTATATGTCAAGCCTCACAACCAGCGATACCCAGATAAAGCGATAACGCCTTGGAAGAAGTGATTGACGGATTGAGACCCGAGTCTAAAATATCGGAGGCAACCATGTACTAGTAATTCAGAACAATAGCGGATGAGCAGATGGGACAAGGAAGGAAGTTTCCCCTGTAGTGCAACATAATATATTTTGGGCACATAAATTCCAGAAAGAGACGTCGACAGGGATCGACAGGACAAGGTCACAAATGGTGGGAATGACCAACAAGGGTAAAATGACACACACACGGCAGTGGCGTATAATAATTTAAAAAAAAAAACAACCCAAGATTACCTACAGGACAATGTAGGACCGGGACAGACGCAAACTACTGTTGCACCTGGGGATAGAAACTGAGGCTGGAATATCTGTGCCACATCTGGCACATCGGAAAAAAGGTCCGAACCAATATACAAAAAATGGCCAATACACTGGTATCCATGTCAATTTTCCATGTACGTACCTCATACCGATTCAAAACAAACCTGAGCATATTTTACTACTTTAGACACCGGGTTCACTAGCCATGCAGGGAGCAAGGTGCCCAAAACTCGAGACACTGTAACCTACGAATGCACGATAAGATGTCATGGAACTTGCGAACCTGCTAGTACTCAATTAGTATTACTCATATTAGCCCATTGAGTAGGTAAGAATTGCCATGAACGGTCGGGCCAGGACAGACCGACGACGGACCGACGGACGACTGTTTCCGAGGACAAGGTAGCTTTAGACTATTTTGGAGGCAGACGGGTTCCAGAACCCCCCTTCACAACAGGTATCAGATGCAACAGGTATCAGAAGCCGACAATCTAGTACTCCAGGGGAATGGTTACACAAGCAAGTAAGAACACACCACACAACGAATATATAGATATACTATTCTTTGGCAATCACTCGATATCTTTATTTGCAACCAGATATAGATTCATGTACAGATACAGATACATATTCATGCAAAAATACAGCTTCATATATACATTCAGATACAGATTTTTCCGAGTAAGATGACCGTGTCAGTCCCTACACCTGAGTGAGGGTTACAGTTGACACGGCGGCCTCCGCGTGGATTTGTTTAAGGTGGATAACAGGTTGCGAATCTAGGACCCACACACTTGGGCATCCGTCTTCCCCAGCGGATCCATCGAGGGAGACGTGCCGGTTCGGGTGCTTGCAGCGAGCTGCCGGACGACTTGGTTACACTCAAGGTCCGCCTTGATTACGCCAGCCCGCGTGGCGCTGCTCTCGTCCGCCAGCTGAAGACAACTGCCGTTGGAGACTCGACCCTCTAACTGAGGGGGATACGTGTAAAGTGCCTTTCCCAAGGGCACAACGTCGGTATGCATGTTCGGACATGCCCCTGTGCTCTAACCCGGAATCGAACCCGGGGCTCCTTGTTGAGCGCCGAACGCTCTGTCCACTACGCCACACGACGCCACTAGATATATAGGAGGAAAGTAATTCAACATCACAACTACCCAGAGTCACACGCAGTGCACAGTCTACTATCCCGAGCCGCTATGCACTATGGGAGGGGGAAGATATCAATCACCCACACATGCCAGTTGCTGTGTAGCAAGGCAGGGTGAGAAAGGTGAGCCATTGCGCGATGGAAGGTTTGAGATTACAGGAGATTAAAAAAAAAAAAAAAAAATGGGCGGCAGCTATAATGACCATTTGTAATTGCCGGCCACAATAAAAGGCCCATTGCCAGTCCCCAGGTCGAATGTTCCCTGCAGGGTAGCGCAAAAGCAGTAGGGAGGTCCTGGGAGGCACCCACAGACCCACGAAGGTTAAACACGAGGTGACCAGGAGCATTTCCGGACCGTGTGTACTCTGGTCCGCGAAAAATGCTATTCCCAAAAGGCTGAGGGACACCTGAAAAGACATCCGCGCATACGACCCCGCGCATACCGCTTTGCTTCTGTTCGGGCCCCGGCCTAAGGCCCCCGTCTTTTACCACCCATATCTTAACCCGAACAGAGGGCATAGCACGCGGGATTGGATACTGTCCGTCCGTGAGGCAGACTTGCGTCACTACACAGTCCACCAATCGGAAATCACCGGTTCCTTTTGGGTTCCATTTAGGATGCTTCAAAGCATGAAACTTGTTGATGTTGTAATTTTCTGGATCGTTGTTGTAAGTTGGGGCGTCAGCGAGAAATCTCCCAGCAAAGTTCAAACGAAGAATAGCTGTAGGAATGACATCACACTTTGCAGTTCCAAATATCATGCATTTTAGTACATTCATAACAAGGCTTTTGGCACTGACCCATCTTGACACTTTTTAGAAGATCAGTTTGCAGAGCTGCCACAATAGTACAGGCTGACTTGGCCGCTCCGTAATGTTATGTGCCATCAACATACATTTCAGTCAAACATCGTGATACTGCTAACGGAAGATTATTTGTATGAAGGGTACATAACGTTAACAGTGGACCTAGTCACCTACCCTGTGGTACTACATTCAAGTCCCAGTGGCGTGGAAAAAGAACAATTATTGTAAACAACCTGAGTTTTTTGTGTAGATAGATTTCAAACCATGCAAGAACATTTCGTTAAAAAACCGTAAGATCTAAGTTTAGCAAGTAAGGAGAATACTATAACAAACTAGTAAAATGTAGCATTGAAATCTATGTATACAACAACGAGCTCTTCTCTATCCATAGCTGACAACAAGTCATCTGTTATCTGTTAACCAGTGCATTGGGACGATATGCATGTTGTGCAGTTGCAATTGGTGCTAAATTAGATCATGAACAACTTCTTTTATATAATTAACACTTTGATTTGATGGTGCAAAACGCATTCTATGCGACTAACAACAAAACAAAGAGTACAACTTACCATTAGAACTTATCTGCCCCGTCCCAACTTCGTCACGTTCACAACAGTCGTCATTGGAGCCTAATGTATATAAATTGATGTTTTAAAATCATATTTTAGTAAGGCAATGCATGATGGCATGCAAGACATTTGCAGTTTACAATTTGCCATATTTCACTCCATACCAAAGATATGGGAGAGGGATAAATTATTTTTTTTGGGTCAATCGTTTATTGGTAATACCACATTTATACATCTGTAACAGGCGTAGATACCAGTATATTTACCTTCACCAAGAAGGTTTTGTTTTCGTAGGCGTTCGTGTGTGCGTCTGTGTGTGTGTGTGTGTGTCCGTCTGTAAACACGATAACTTGAGAAGACTTATATGGATTGACTTGATATTTGGTAGGTTTGCTTCCGTCTGCGTGTTTCCTTCTCTCGGAGTCCTGCTATCTTCTATTTTCAGAAACTAATATGATTTCTTTGCAGTAAAATTTCTTAAATCCGCATAACAGTGAGGCAAACATTACATTTACATATATTCATTCAATGTTAAACTATTGACGATACCTTACTGTCCTTCTTTTTGGAAATTTCTAAAATAAAAAAAGTCGGCAAAAGGAAAGGGCAATCTATGTCTTACTATGAAATAGCAGGCATTCATGTTTTGCTTTCTGTTGTTGTATTAATTACCTTCGCCAAGAAGGTTATGTTTTCAGTAGCGTTTGTCTGTGTGTGGGTGTATTTGTGTGTCTCTGTGTGTGTGTTTGTGTGTGTGTTTGTGTGGTTTAGCAAGATAACTCAAGAAGCAGTGGATGGATTGGGATGAAACTTGGTAGGTGGGTAGGTCTTCATGAGACCTCGCAATGATTAGATTTTGGTTAACATCATTTGGCGAAGGTATGAGATCGTGGAACTCTTGTTAAAAATGGGAACGTTTGTCAAAACGTCCGTTGGATATCAAATTCGTCAGGCTTCCGCAATCACCGTGCTTTGGATCGCAATGCACCCCACTGAACTGAGTGAATGTACTAGTATGTAACTTATTACCACAATTAGCCTGGACCCCTTTATCTGTGATAGATGTTCTAAGAAAGACCTTTCAAGGTTCTGACGGAGACCAGACGTTTTCCATTACCCTTCCCTCTAGGCAAAAAAAACATCTTGCCCCCTTCCCCAACCCCACGAAACGTACAGCATGCTAGCATGCAAGTTCATCTGTGTTGGTATATAACATTATGATAACAGTTAAACTTGGGGTAAGTTTGGGTTTGGAAACTTGGGGTTGGAAAATTTGGGGTAAGTCCCAATTTACTTTGTGTTGGTCACGTAAAGTTTAACTGTTGTCATAACGTACAGCATGCTACTTCCATCCCCCAAATACCGTACAGTCCCTAATCCCAAGTGTCTTGTGTTTCGAATTCATCGAAGCTACGGACCTTAACAACATCACCATGCCGTTTAGAAAACCTGGCTCATTTTTAACCTCCGTAGCAGGCTTATAGAACTGGGGATTTGGTGGTCTTTTCGGCTGTTTTCTGATTAGCCCAGTTCTAAAAAAACGGGGGTAATTTAATCCGGCTGGCTATGTTGTCTATATGCAATCAGAAAATAGCACATAAAGCTCCCAAAGACTATGAAGACCTCCCAAACCCCCAGTTTTTGGCATGCTATGGAGGCTAACTAATTTTAGAGTGTTGAATGTTTCTTACAACTGAAGATTCATACAAAACCACATCATAAACAACTGTTATCAGCATTCGCAATCCTTACGTCACAGTGTACAAATTACGCAAACATACCTGCAGTGACCCGCTCCACAAAAGCCAGACTGACCGCAATCAAGACGACTTCTCCCACCAACTTCATAGTGTCGACAGTCAGCAGAAGTTTTGACCATGACCTTCTCTGCGCCCTTTAGGCCATGTTGATTTGATTATATGGATGACATCCACTGGGAACCCCAAAACTGATGCGCGCGTGCGAATAAAAAAAAAGTTTTGTCAAAAAAAAAAAACTTGCTTTCACTATGAAATCTACGTGGTCATGAAGGTTGAACAAATAGCACAGAATATGTTATGGCGAATAATCTACTCTTCGAATTCATTTCTTTACATTTTTGTGTTTTTTCCTTTCATTTTGGCATTCTACGACATTGGTATCGTTTCTAAATGTTTTCCTTGCAACTTATGGTATATTTTTGCTCATTTAGCAACTGTTTTGCACGATTTACAGTATGGTTGAAAACTTTTTTTTGTTGGAAACGGCCGAAACTTCATGCGCGCGCAAATGTCATCCATATAATCAAATCAACATGGCCTTAGGGCTTTCAGGAAAGATTGGTGCATGGTTGTCTTCAGCCTGACAGTGTTTCATTACATGCTTCCAGAACGACTCCTGGCGTCCTGGAGTGATTCCGCACAGTACCAGGACTTACGTTAGGGAAGAACCAATATTTATGACCAAATTGTTAGATACCCCCAGGCGTTTTTTATTTTTATTTTTGTGATGCAGGCTTTTAGAATGGTTCTATTTGAGCCTTTTGGCTGTGTTACAGAAAATGTACTATAGCAGTGTGTTACCATATTTGGGCATGAGTCATAAGAATGGCATGCAGTGCAAGCAACCAATAGGCATGCAGCTTTCCTCTATTCTTCTTGCTGATTGGCTGTTGGAGCTTGATCGGGTTAACTCAATTAACACCTGTACAGAGCCATGCCATAGTGACAGTATGAACTTTATTCAAGTGTTTTGGTAGGTATATCAAGCTTTCCTGCTCCAGCATTGGAATGCGGGGCATAAACACTCTTTTTATATTGGAAATCAACAGTTTGCATTATGCAATTAAAAATCCTAACCAATAATGTAAGGGATAGCTATCCTCCATCTGTTGACACTTCATACTATAATCATATCAATGTAAAGAAATGTTTTCCCTTGTGTTTGCCCTTCTTTCCCTGCCATGTTGTAAAATGTGGTGAAGCCATTTGCTTCATTTGGGATAATTGTGTGTAAACTTCAGGGCTGAAAATACTGGGTATGTAGCGCTCCTTGGTGCAGGTAAAATTGGAGCTGTGTCTACCTACACCTAACCTGCACTGGTCCATGTACTACATTATATAAAAATTATACATGTTGATACGGATTTTCACTTGCTGTATTGACTGTTACCACCTATGAAGTATAGAAGAAATAATGGCCAATGGTGTTTGAACAGTTTTTAGTATGATCATTACTTCCTATATTCTGAGTGGTGCAGGTAAAATTTGTCCGGTGCATGTAAATTTTCAATGCACCGGAAAAAAGGATTTTAAGCCCTGGTTCTATAAGAATTGTACAGTCACATCTACATCATTTACAAAATTTAATGTTGGTTAAATTCATTCTTAACTTATCACTTCTAAAATAATCATATTCCTCCTATAACCCTGCAACTAGACCCGATGGTGAGAGACATAGAATTGTGTTGGCTTTATATGTGTTCAATCAAAAATTGACAAGGGTTTAAAACATTGAGATTGAGAAGTCTTTGATTTGACAAAACAAGGAATCACGTTAGGCCATGTTGATTTGATTATATGGATGACATCCTCTGGGAACCCCAAAACTGATGCGCGCATGCGAATAAAAAAAAAAAGTTTGTGCAAAAAAAAAAAGTTA